GTCACAAAAGACACCAAGAGACATAACAGGGAGCAAGTCAGCTAAATTCTTAAAAAGCTCAGGATAAAGCTCTGGTGATTAAAAACATGTGGCCTGATTTTCATAAGGTATAAAAAACAAATACTTCTCTAAACAAATACTTTATCTGCCTTTAAATTTTTTCTTAACGGGATTATCCCAATGGCAGCCAAGAAAATGAAGCTGCTTTCAGTTCAGGTTATAGCAAAAGATGATCTGGCAGTAAATGAGGTATCAGAACTGATGCTTAAACCAGTGGAAATCGCTCTGCTTTGTAAATTAAAGCATAAACTTGTATTGTGTGCAAGGAAATTGCAAACATAAAATTGTGAACACCAAATTATTGTGAATTTTAGGTAAGATCGAGAGAAACAGACATGTCCACCACTGAGCAAATAAGGATGTGTTCTTTGCTGTTCGAAATTCAGAAGGGATAGACAGACTGCAAACTCAATCTGCTTATGATTTTTTTAAATTTTATTGTGCTTTAGATGAAAGCTTACAGCTCAAGTTAGTTTCTCATTCAAAAATTTATACACATATTGTTTTGTGACATCAGTTGTAAACCCCGCAATGTGACAGCATTCTCCCCCCTTCCACCCTGAGTTCCTCGTGTCCATTTGTCCAGTTTTCTTGCCCCTTCCTGCTTTCTCGTCTTGCTTTTGGGCAAGAGTTGCCCATTTGGTCTCCTATACTTGAGTAAACTAAGAAGCACATTCCTCACCTATGATATTGTTTGTTTTATAGACTTGTGTTATGGATTGAATTGTGTCCCTCAAAACTGTGTCAACTTGGCTAGGCCATGATTCCCAGTATTGTGTGGTTGTCCTCCATTTTGTGATCTGATGTAATTCTCCTTTGTGTTGTAAATCCTAACCTGTATGATGTTAATGAGGCAGGATTAGAGGCAGTTATGTTAATAAGGCAGGACACACTCTACAGGGTTAGCCTGTTCTTGAGTCAATTTCTTTTAGATATAAAAGACAGAAGCGAGTAGAGAGGAGAAGGACCTCATTACCACCAAACAAGAAGAGCCAGGAGCAAAGCGCATCATTGGACCCGGGGTCACTGCACTGAGAAGCTCCTTGTTGTTGTTGTTAGGCATCATCCAGTGGGTTCCAACTCATAGCAACCCTATGTACAACAGAACAAAACACTGCCTGGTCTCATGATCGTTGTTATGCTTGAGCCCACTGTTGCAGCCACTGTGTCAATCCATCTCATTGACAGTCTTCCTCTTTTTTGTTGACCCGCTACTTTACCAAGCATGATGTCCTTCTCCAGGAACTGATCCCTCCTGACAACATATCCAAAGTACGTGAGACGAAGTCTCATCATCCTTGCTTCTAAAGAGCATTCTGGCTTTACTTCTTCCAAGATACATCTATTTGCTCTTTTTGCAGTCCATGGTATATTCAATATTCTTCACCAACACCATAATTCAAAGACGTCAATTCTTCTTAGGTCCTCCTTATTCATTACCCAGCTTTTGCATGCATATGAGGCGACTGAAAACACCATGGCTTGGGTCAGGCCCACTTTCGTCTTCAAGGTGACATGTTTGCTTTTTAATACTTTAAAGAGGTCTTTTGCAGCAGATTTGCCCAATGTAATGCATTATTTGTTTTCCTGACTGTTGCTTCCATGGGTGTTGACTGTGGATCCAAGTAAAATGAAATCCTTGACAACTTCAATCTTTTCTCCATTTATCATGATGTTGCTTATTGGTCCAGTTGTAAAGATTTCTGTTTTCTTTATTTTGAACTGTAATTCATACTGAAGGCTGTAGTCTTTGATCTTCTTCAGTAAGTGCTTCAAGTCCTCTTCACTTTCAGGAAGCAAGGCTGTGTCATCCATAACACAAATTGTTAATGAGTCTTCCTCCAATCCTGATGCCCCATTCTTCTTCATGGAGTCCAGCTTCTCGGATTATTTGCTCAGCATACAGATTGAGTAAGTATGGTGAAAGGATACCTCCCAGACACACACCTTTCCTGACTTTAAACCATGCAGTATCTTCTTGTTCTGTTCGAACGACTGCTTCTTGATCTGTGTACAGGTTCCTCATGAGCACAATCAAGTGTTCTGGAATTCCCATCCTTCACAATGTTATCCATAATTTGTTATGATCCACACAGTTGAATACCTCTGCATAGTCAATAAAACACAGATAAACATCCTTCTGGTATTCTCTGCTTTCAGCCAGGATTCATCTGATATCAGCAATGATATCAATGGATCCACAACCTCTTCTGAATTTGGCTTGAATTTCTGGCAGTTCCCTGTTGATGTACTACTGCAACTGCTTTTGAATGATCTTCAGAAAAATTTACTTGCATGTGATATTAATAATATTATCTGATAATTTCCACATTTGGTTGGATCACTTTTCTTTAGAATAGGCATAAATATGGATCTCTTCCAGTCAGTTGGCCAGGTAGCCGTCTTCCAAATTTCTTGGCATAGAAGAGTGAGCACTTCCAATGCTGCATCTGCTTGTCGAAACATCTCAATTGGTATTCCATCAATTCCTGGAGCCTTGTTTTTCGTCAATGCCTTCAGTGCAGCTTGGACCTCTTCCTTCAGTACCATCGGTTCCTGATTGTATGGTACCTCCTGAAATGGTTGAATGTAGACCAATTGTTTTTGGTATAGTAACTCTGTGTATTCCTTTCATCTTCTTTTGATACTTCCTGTGTGAATATTTTCCCCTTAGAATCCTTCAGTATTGCAACTCAAGGCTTGAATTTTTTCTTCAGCTCTTTCAGCTTGAGAAATGCTGAGCGTGTTCTTCCCTTTCGGTTTTCTAACTCCAGGTCTTTGCACGTGTCATTATAATACTCTACTCTGTCTTCTCGAGCGGCCCTTTGAAATCTTCTGTTCAGCTCTTTAACATCGTCATTTCTTTCATTTGCTTTAGCTACTCAACATTCAAGAACAAGTTTCAGAGTCTCTTCTGACATCCATTTTGATCTTTTCTTTCTTTCCTGTCTTTTTAATGACCTCTCGCTTTCTTTGGAAACCCTGGTTAAGTGTTACGACTGCTAACCAAAAGATTGGCAGTTCAAATCCACCAGGTGGTCCTTGGAAACTCTATGGGGCAGTTCTACTCTGTCCTATAGGGTGGCTATTAGTTGGAATCAACTTGATGGCAATGGGTTTGGTTTTTTTTTTTTCTTTCTTCATGTATGATGTTCTTGATGTCATTCCATAACTCATCTGGTCTTTGGTCATTAGTGTTCAACACATCAAATTTATTCTTGAGATGGTCTCTAAATTCAGGTGGGATATACTCAAGGTCGTACTTTGGCTCTCGTCGACTTGCTCTAATTTTCTTCAGGTTCAAGTTGAACGTCCACAGGAACAGTTGATGGTCTGTTCCGCAGTTGGCCCTTGGCCTTGTTCTGACTGATGATATTGAACTTTTTCATAGTGTCTTTTCACAGATGTAGTCGATTCGATTCCTGTGTAGTCCATCTGGAGAGGCCCACGTGTATGGCAGCCATTTATGTTGTTGAAAAAAGATATTTGCAAAGAAGAAGTTGTTGGTCTTGCAAAATTACATCATGCGATCTCCAAAGCCGTTTCTATCATGAAGGATATATTTTCCAACTACCTACCGATCCTTCTTCGTTTCCAACTTTCATATTCCAATCACCAGTAATTATCAATGCATCCTGACTGCATGTTTGATAAATTTCAGACTGCAGAAGTTGGTAAAAATCTTCAATTTTTTCCTCTTTGGCCTCATTAGTTGGTGCATAAACTTGAGAGTCATATTAACTGGTCCTTCTTGTAGGCATCGGATATCCTATCACTGACAGCATTGTACTTCAGGAGAGATCTTGAAACGTTCTTTTTGACAATGAATGCAACGCCATTCCTCTTCAGTTTGTCATTCCCAGCATAGTAGATCATATGGACTCAATCAAATCATGTGAATGCTTAAAAAGAACCTGTCCCTGCTGTGGTCACAGACAGATGTGATGACAGAAGAAGGGTCAGAGAGATGCAATGTTGCTGGCTTTGAAGATGGAGGAAGGAGGCCACAAGCCAAGGACTGTAGGCAGCCTCTAGAAGCTAGCAAAGACAGGAAACAGATTCTCCTCTACAGCCTCCAGAAGGAACATGGCCCTGAATACACTTTGATTTTAGTCCAATGAGACCTGTATCAAGACTTCTGACCCACAGAACTGTAAGATAATAAATTGTGTTGTTTCAAGCCCTGACATTTTTAATAATTTGTTACAGCAGCATAGAAAACAGTAGAATAGAATACAGTAATAGAAACAGAAAACATAGAATACAGTAGCCTGGATTCTTTTTGACAGAGATAGTAGCTTATTCTCTTTTTCTCAAAAGAGAATTTCCTTTTGGAGAAAATAGTAAGATGTCCTATTTAAATGTAAAATTTGCCTACTGAACTAATATAATTCATAGTAGAGTCTTCCCATAAAAATTTGTAAATATATACAGGTAGTCCCTGATTTACAATGTATTTGAGTTATGACAAACCACACTTACAACCTTTTTTTTGTTTTGTTTTCGTACATTTTATCATTAGTAATATGTACTACATACAACATTGCAATGAGTAATTTGCTGATGTCATCTTATGTGTAAGTTTATATGTAATGTTTCAAACCCCCAAAGACAAATAAAGATAGGATTTATAAAGATATTGATAATAAAAGGCAATAATAATGAAAACGAAAAAAAAAAATGGAGGTATTCAACTTACGTGAGAACCAACTTACAACGGAGTCGTTACAACAGAACCCCATCATAAGTCAGGCGCTACCTGTACTTTTAAGTTCACTTGAAACCTTTCAGACAATGTCCAATGTTAACTGTTACAGGTGGGTGAGTCAACAAACCTTGTTCGCATGTCACCCAGCTCCCTAGTCCAAAAATAAGTCTGTGGTACCAAAAGGAAGGCAGTACAGTGTGACCACCCCTCCTCATTCCTGTGGATTACTCACTCAATGAACTCCTGTTTACACTGCTGTAGCATCTCACATGTCTGCTGAATCTCTTGCTCACTCAGAAGCACCAACATCCCAATAGTTAGGTGAAGCTTTTTGGGTTTCTGGAAAATGCTGCCATCGACCCCACGATCCTGTTATCAAAGGGAGAAAAACAAGAAACTCAGCCCACCAAATGGTCAACAATTACTTTAAAACAAGGATAAGAATGTAAGGGGACAGGGAAACTAGATTAATGGAAATAGAACAACCAGAAAGGAAACACTGAGAATGTTCATGCATTGTGAAGAACGTAACCAATGTCACTGAACAAGTTGTATAGAAATGTTGAATGGGAACCTAAACTGCTGTGTAAACCTTCACCAAAAACACAATAAAATATTATTTAAAAAGAAAGAAACACAGCCCAACAAAATTAAAACTGCAGCCTGATAGAATGGCATGGCCCAGGAAAAAGAGAATGCCATCCAAATGTAAGTTCTAAGACTATCTTTATTCCTTATAAGCTTTTGTTACTTCCAGAGCAGCTGGGACGATTATGGGTCTCCTCAAAGAGTAACATGCTGTTTATAATAACACAGGGCTCCTTCTATCTTAAGGAGCCCTGGTGGTGCAGTGCTCGGCTGCTAATTGAAAGGTCGGTGGTTCGATTCCACCAGCCATTCCGTGGGAGAAAGATGTGGCAATCTGCTTCCATAAAGATTACAGCCTTGGAAACGCTATGGGGCAATTCTACCCTGTCCTATAGGGTTGCTATGAGTCGGAATCAACTTGACAGCACACAACAACATTTCTATCTTAATGGAGACTGTAGTATTTTCAGGTAGAATTCTTTGTGTTAACTGTAAATTTTCCCAAACAAAAAGATGAGTGAAATATGAATTTGGAGAGATATCTAGACACTTTAGCTGCCATATCAAATATAGTCACTCTTTACTGGCACCATCATGACTTCACTTTAAAACCTTTGCATCTAGGAAATGCAAAAGATAAATAATATACCTTATGAATCCTTATTTTTTTTAATTGAGACAAAATTCACATAACATAAAATTCACCATTTTAATAATTTTAAAATGTACAACTCAGTGACTTATTATTTCACAATGTTATGCAACCAACACCACTATCCAGTTCCAGAACATTTCCATCATCCTTCTAATTTCCTCTTACCCCTGTATCTTTTGTTTTTTTAACTGAACTTTAGATGAAGGTTTACAGAACAAACTAGCTCCTCATTAAACAGTTAGTTACCCTCTATATCTTGGCAACCACTAATCAACTTTCTGTCTCTATGGATTTGCCTGTTCTAGGCATTTCATACAACTGAGTCATACACTATGTAGCATTTTGGGTCTGGCTTCTTTTATTTAGCACAATGTTTTCAAGGTTCATCCATGTTGTCGCATGTGTCAATATTTCATTCTTTTTTTAATGGCTGAACAATATTCCACTGTATGGACATACCATATTTTGTTTAACCATTCATGAGGTGATGGACATCTGGGTTAGCTCCACTTTTTGGCTAATAAATAATGCTTCTATGAACATTTATGTACAAGTTTGTGTGCGATCGTATGTTTTCAGTTCTCTGAACCATATGATAACTCTACATTTAATCATCTGAGGAACTGTCAATTTCCACAGCAGATGCACCATTTTACATTTCCACTAGTAATGTATGAGGGTCCTAATTTCTTCACATTATTGCCAATACTTGTTATTTCCTATCTTTTTCACACCATCCTAAGAGGGATGAAGTGGTATCTTATTGTGGTTTTGATTTGCATTTCCCTAATGACTAACGATGTTGAGCATCTTTTCATGTGTTGATTAGCCATTTGTACGTCTTGTTTGGAAAAATGTCTATTAATACACTTCGCCCATTTTTTAAATTGGGTTTTTGTCTTTTTATTGTTGAGTTGTAAGAGTTCTTTATATATTCTGGATACTAGACCCTTGTCCCTTTTGAACGTAAGCAGGTCTCAAGTTTCATCAATGTTATTCTGTAAATGGAGACAAGAAAAAAGAGCTGAGAATCTTCTCCTCCAACAGGAGCAAAGCAGGAACTGTATCTTTGAATTTCAAGTTCTTATCCCATAATCTGATCTGTGGCCTAATAAACCACCCCAAGGGCAGAGAAATGTATTTAACAAATGTGGGTAACTTAAATCTTGTTCTTGGTTTTCCTAAGACTTACTGTCTTAGCAATAGGCGTTAATAGGTTAATTCGTTTTCTAAGACCTTGAGCTATTTTTATACCTGATGACAAGTTCTGAGATTCTACACTTCAACCCAAATTACCCCACTGAATGAAAGTGATTTTTAAGGAGAAATCAGCTTTAAATGTGTCAACAAAGGCTAAGTACAATGCTTATCACCTCAGTTGCTCTAACCCATGGCAGAACCTGTCACCTGAGAAAAGGCATGCAAGATGTCAAAAAGTCCCCCAAGTGATTCCAATATTCACAACTCCATCCCAAACTTTAGTTGAGAATTGCTTCCAAAGTAATAATAGCTAACATTTGTTGAGCCCTTTCTCTGTTCCAGGCATTGCTCTATGCACTTTATAGGCAAAAACCCCAGAAAGGAAGTACTATTATTATCCCCACTTTACAGATAAGGAAACTGAGGCACAGAGAAATTAAGCCACTTTCTCAAAGTAATACTGCTTTCCCAAAGTAATACTGCTAGGAAGGGATGAAGTCAAAATTCAAACACAGGCAATCAGGCCCCATAGGCTGCACTTTTGATCAATATTATATTGCCTTCCTAGCAACAACTGTCCAGAGGAGGATGAAACAGTAAGAATACCACCCAGAGGCAAGTCTTCACCCATTTCAACAAAGTTCACACAATAAGTATGTCTGATCACTAAACTAGTCCTGGGAATAAAGCAACTCTCATACTTCCATGAAAACAAAAAGTGTTTTTCATATTTGCTTTTCTTAGGTAAATGACAGCAAAAGTACAATCCACAAAAGAAAAAAAATTGATAAATTGAACTTGATAAAAATTAGAAATTTAAGTTCCAAGAAATCTTTAAATTTCTTAATGGTGTTTCAAAAGACACCATTAAGAAGATGAAAAGATAAGCCACAAACTGGGAGAAAGATACTTATAAATCATATATCTGATAAATATAAATATATAAAAGCTCTTAAAATTCAATGATAAAAAGATACGTAACCCAATTAAAAAATAAGCAAAATATTTGCATAGAAATTTCACCAAAGGAGATATACAAATGGCTACCCATGAAAAGATGCTCAACATTATAAGTCACTAAGAAAATGCAAATCAAAACCACAATGAGATATCACTAGAATCACTATAATCAAAAAGACAGTAATGTGGGTTGGTGAGGAAGTAGAGAAACTAGACTGCTTATACACTGCTTGGGGAATGTAAAATGGTACAGCCACTTTGGAAAACTGTTGGGCAATTTCTCTAAAAGTTAAACATAAATTTTATAACACAACTCAGTCGTTTCACTTCCAGGATTCTACACAAGAGAACTGAAAACATAGGTCCATATAAAGACTTATAAGCAAATTTCACAGCAGTATTATTCATAATAGTCCTAACAGGGAAACAATGCAAATATCCATCAAATAGTGAATAGATAAACAAAACGTAGTGCATCCACACAATGGAATACTATTCAGTAATAAAAGTAATGAACTACTAAAATATGCAACAGTCTGGACGAACCTCAAAAACATTATGCTAAGCAAAACAAGCTAGGTACAAGAGACTATATACTGTATGATTCCATTCATAGGAAATGTCAAGAAAAGAAAATCTATAGAGACAGAAAGGAGATTAATGGTTGCCTAGGGTTATGGGTGGAATTGTAAATAGGAATGAGGGGTCTTCTTTGGGGTGACAGAAATGTTCTATAACTGGATTGTGGTAATGGTTGCACAACTCTAAATTTACTAAATTTCATTTAATTTCATTAAATATCCTTAAAATGGATCAATTTATAGTATGTAAATTATACCTCAATAAAACTATTTTGCGTGTGTGCACGCGCACACGTGTGCATGTATCTTTTCTTCTTAAGAGCATCCTAGCAACCCTGAAGCAATTTTTCACCTATAACTCTACCGAGAGCTATCTTTATGGAATAACTTAAGAGTAGTCGTCTCATATTTGATCTTTCCTATTTGAGGATCTCCCAGAGGTTTTTAAACCTATAATGTTTAAAAACACTACTCATACATGGTATGAGATCAACGCACAAAAACTAGCTAGGTTTCTTGACACTAACAAGGAGTATTCTGAAAAGGAATTAAGAAAACAATACCATTTACAATACCCTCCAAAATGATAAAATACCTAGGAATTAACCTAACCAGGTACATAAAACACTTACGCATTGAAAACTGTAAAACACTGCTACAAGAGACTAAAAGAGATCTACATAAATGGAAGGACCTTCTGTGCTCATGGATTAGAAGGCTTAATATAATGAAAATGTCAATACTACCTAAAGCAATCTACAGATACAATGCGATCTTAATACAAATCCCAACAACATTCTTCACTGAAATGGAAAAACTAATGACCACGTATAGATGGTAAGGAAAAAAGGCCTGAATAGCCAAGGCAATCTTGAAGAAGAACAAAGTAGAAGGTCTCATGCTCCCTGATATCAAAACACAGTATACAGCCACTGTAATCAAAACAACCTGGTACTGGTTCAATTAGACACACATAGACCAATGGAATAAAATTGAGAACCCAGAAATAAATCCATCCATTATGGACAAATGATTTTCACCAAGGGTTCAAAGTCCATTCAATAGGAAAGAAACAGCATCTTTAATAAATGGTGCTGGCAAAACTGGATATCCACTTGCAGAAAAATGAAACAGGACCCATACCTCATACCATACACAAAAATTAACTCAAAATGGATCAAAGACCTAAATGTTAAGCCTAAAACTACAAAGTTCCTAGGAGAAAATTATGGGACTTAGTTTTTTTTGAAATAGGCTAACAAACAAAACTACAAATGGATGAACAGCAAAAACAAATTAGGTAATTGGGATGCCATAAAAGTTAAATATTAATGCTCATCATTGGAACCCTGGTGGCATAGCGGTTAAGAGCTCTGCTGCTAGCG